TTCAGTTTTGCTTTACTGTTATTGTGTATACACTCCTGGTGAGTATACAATGGTACATATATATAACTTCTATAACATTAGATTAAAGTCAGCCAGCCTCAGCAACTTAGTGAGGCTCTAAAAAAATAAGCAAAACCCTTTTGCTTTATAGAATATTTTATTAAAGGCTGAGAGTGTTTCATAGCAAAAAAAAAAAATCATATCTGATTTCAATTTGTAATATGAGAGAGAGAGAGATCTTGCAAAAATAAAAAAGTAATCAGTGACACTCTTAGTGTCAAGGATGTAAATAATTCAAAAGTAATAGTGAGCTAGTTGGAAAACTCATCTAGGTTATTAACTGCTTCTTGGGGAAGTTAGTCTGCTCTCCAATATATAAAAGTGAGAGAGGAATTCTTTATTAAGTTTTGTATAAGAAAAAAGAGGAGTTTTGACACAGCTGTAAGTTGACCTAGACTGGGTCAACTTTAGTGGGTGATTAGGGTTCTGCTAAGATGAGAGATCCTTGAATTATTTGGAATAATGTGATTTTATCTAGTCTAAATAAACAAAGATAAAGGTCTAATATAAATCATGCTTGGCCAAGGAAAAAACATTTAAATGAAAAGTAAATGTACGAATAAACACATAAAACAACATTTAAGAAAAAGTTAACATTCAGAATATTTATGCAATTATATAATCACCAGTAATGTAAAAACAATGACAACTAAAGAAAAAGTGAATTAATAAAGGAACAAATAAATAATGGAATAAATTAATTAATAAATGAATAACTAACAAGTGCAAAGATGTAATGTGACTGGAATTGTCAAAGTCAGCTTGTAGCCATGACAAAGTGTAAAGGTACATGGAAATGCTGTTTTACTACTTACTGAGACATACCCTGTGAACTATAAATTCCACTCCTAGGTGGGAAGAGTTGAACTCAGAGCCCATTCACCTGGCTCTCTTACTTGGGAACTGTGCAAAAAATTAACTTTTTCTTTCCCCCAAGATTTTATTGCTGCTTCCAAGAACACTACCCCTCTACATTCATACCATCATTGTAGACTTGTAGCATATGAACCCCTCTACTGCTCAAGTTTTTCTTTTTTTTTATTGCTCTTTTTCTCCCTCCTCACATATAATCCACCAATACTTATTTTGTAATGCAAAATCTACATACTCAGCAATCTCCAGCCTTACATCTTACTATATCCATTTCCTGCCTTGTGCATGACAATTTTGAGATCCCCTCCATCAAGACATCAATAGTCCAAAGTGATCAGTATTGGGGGTAAAATATGCAGAATATTAGAAGTCAGTCACACAATAAGAAAGCTATAAAAAGTCGGCTTCATTTTAAGGGTGAAAATAAAAAGAAAATCTATAGACTTCACTAGTTAAAATAAAGGATCCAAAATTTATGAGTCTCAATAATTTGAATTATATCTGTGAGTCACTTTTTTGGGGGGGAAGGATATGGGGACATTGCTAATGAGTTTAAAGCTCAAACTGTTTTTTATGAGACAAAAAACAGAAAAGTTAAAAAAATATTAAAACTGATATCATTTTCATAAATAAAAATATAGACATATTTATTCAAAAATTGCTTTAACCTTATAAACAGTTATAAGTGTCAATGCACTTCCCTCTGGGATATGTCCTAGTATTGGAAGAAAACTTTGCCTTAAAATAACCGCATTCGCTGACCCTAATTATAATAATATAATAATAATAAGTGATGTGGGGAGGATTTCAGGTTTGTGAAGCATACCTGTAATATAAGTTACTTGAAAAGCCAACATGGGAGAATTTTATTCACTGTCTGAAGACATATATGTATAAATTATATATAAAAATGTTTATGGGTTCTGTAGTGAAGGGGCACAAGTCCAATACACAGTCTTTATTTTTAAAAAAAATTTTTTTTGTTGTAGATGGACACAATACCATTTGTAGTTTGTTGGTTAGTTTTTTAATGTGGTGCTGGCTGTTCAACCCAGTACCTCACCCATGCTAGGGAAGGGCTCTACCCAAAAGTCCTTTACTTAATTAATTTTTTTTTTTTTGGCGGGAGTGTATGTGTGTAGTTCAGGGGATTGAATCCATGGCCTTATATAAGCAAAACAAGCACTCTACTGACTAAGCTATATCCTCAGCCCTGATCTGTAGTCTTTTAACAATGACAGTGGAGCAGCCTGTCATTCAGCCTTTGATTCTGCACCCACTTGGCTCAGGTTGGAGGCAGTGCCTGAAGCCTTGACCAATCAGTCTCTTAGGTGAGAAGTGTCCAATCCTCACACAGCCGGTGATGAGGGGGAGGGCTTCCATAATCTTCTGTTCCCTTCCTGTCTGGAGCCCGCCATTTTTTCAATCTTTTTGTAGGCTTTCTATGCTGGATCCGGAGCCCAGGTGTCTATGCTATGCAGAAACTCAAAACAAATCACAGGGAGAATGCTGAGAACCCTGAAAGCCAGGAAATGGTAACTGTGCCTTATTATCTTGAGACTGGGTAGGAAGGTGGCTTAAACTGACAGGAGTGGCAATGGTGGAAACTGGCAGTCATGGCTAGGGACTCCTCATGGTCCTCTCCAGAGTCTTGTGGCCAGAGGGTCTCTCTGTGGTAGCTTAGCCTTCACCTGCCACTGACTAGTATAGTGAGGCTTATATCGGCAGTTGAAAACCTGGGCATTTTGTTCCATCATTGTAAGGTGTTTTCAGCTTCTTTCTAAAGCCCTTTGTGAGCTTCCATGTGCCATAAGTCCAGCATGTCTCCAGATTGTGTAATAAAGACTGAGATAATTATCAGGAGAGAACCCCAAATCCATTTGTTGTAATCATGCATGAGATAGGCTGTTGATTTTAGGGCTTGTTACTCATGTGGGTTTGTTTGTTTGTTTGTTCGTTTATTTATTTAATTTTTTTTTTGTGTGTGAGTGTGTGTGTGTGTGTAATCTTATATATTACCTAATTTTTTTGGTAATGGCTGTTTGAGAATAAAATGTCTATTCAATGCAGATGACCAATTTTGAGTATTTAACTTTATGTTGTATACTGAGCACATTAACTGTAAATAAAACAATATTTAATGCATATTAATATGAGAGAGGCTAGATCTTTGTTTGTTTCTGTTTTAAAAGGCAAGTATTAGGATACAATTTTCTCACTCAACAAATCTTGTCCAAAAGGATTATGAGAAATTTCATGATTTAAAACTGTATCTTATTGATTAAAAATTGTGTAAAAAGATGATATATAAAGGAAGGGGAATTATCCATCTTTAAACCAATAGGGCCTCTAGGAGCAGATCATGCCTGGTTTCTTTCCATGCTCTCTGCTGGAACTGACTTAGCAGTTTCTTTTTTTAGATTCAATCTTGTTAGTAATTTTTTTCTTTTGTTTTGTGTTGTGCAATAATGCATTGATAATAGTAAATATTTTGAAGTGAAAAATTCATTATACTTCTACTTTGTAAGTTGTTTTCTATATTTCTTATTTTGTATTTTGATTAATGATTTAATTTCTGGATCATTGCTTTTTATTGTGGCATGCTTGGATTCTTTTCATATATATATATATATATATATATATATATATATATATATATATATATATCCCACTTCTCTTTATATATCCTTTAGGTTTTTAATTTTTACAGTATTTCACAAGTTGCTTAGACTTGTCTTAAACTTTGTCCTGCTTGATAAGTCTCTCCCATATTGGTAGAGTTTCAGCTTTGCACACTAGGAATGCTCCTCTCATTTTTTCCTAAAGAATTATTCACATACTCAATTTGTGATTATTTATATTAATATTTTTGTCTCAATTTCACCCTCTAAACTTTCTATAAATAGTTATTTAGTGTTCTTTGAGTAACTCATAACTGCCAGTATCCTAATTTTCAGTTCTTAATTTTGTTTTTCTTTTTTGTCACTTGGATTAAGCCATACTTCTCTTTGTTTATATTTGCTGTATTATTTTTATTTGTTCATTAAAGGAGCCAACAGTAGATTATATAGTCCATTTTGGGAAAAAAGTAAAAAACTTTTAAATAAATAAAAATAGGCAAGAAAAGTGCTGCATCCTTGTAATATTTGCTAATTGGGAGGCCATGAAAAGTATTTCATGTTTGAGGTAAGTCATAGAAATTTAGAAACAGCATGACTCAAACAATGTTTAAAAGACTTGTGTTGTAGTTCAGTGATATAGTATTTGGGGAGTTAATCTCAAGCACCACACACAAAAAAATTAAAAGTTGGATGACATAAAGATCCAGAAATGCCAGTGCTAAATATGTATCCATGAAAAATTAAATCAGAAAATTGAAGAGATACCTCTGCTTTTGTGTTTAAGGCACACATTGTTCTCAGTATTAAAGCTAGGGACCCAATGTATGTGCCCATCAATGATCAAATGAGTAAAAATATTGTACTTATATACTATTATTATTTAGTTGTAAAAATATTTTGTCTCTTAAAGTGTTATAAGAAATATATATGCACGACTTTGCATTAAGTGAAATGTAGCAGGCAGAGATTAAGTTGCACGAGCATTTGATTCTCATGTGGAAGTCAGAAATTTAGTGAGTAAAATTTTGCTCACCAGGTACTGTGTTTTTTGTAGGGTTGACATTATAGTCAAATTCACATATTTGTATTTTATTGAGCATAAGAGGGTCAAGAGTTTTGTTTTACCACATGGTGAGTGTATTATGTTCTTCATAAATGCTAATAGAAGGAATACAATACCTTGTAAGAACAAAACTGATAATTATATAAAATAATGATTGTGTTAATTTATCCTTTTTTGTGTTAATTCATTATATTTAGTCATTTTACCTTGTATATATAGTATAAAATACCATGATATATTTAGGAAATAAACAAACGTGTATTTGTCGATGAAAGAAATCGTCATATCACACGAATTTAAAAATATAAAAATCAATTTATTATACTTGATTGTTATGCATTGATTGGTATTGTTTTTTTTTTAAATATTTTTGTTTATTTCAGCCATGACTCCTCATGATACCCAAGATTATTCACCAGAGAAGAGCATAAAACATATATTTCACAAAGTGATAAGTCGGAAATATAGAAGTTGTGATCCTGACTATTTACAAAACTACAAGTGAGAGTGAACACCAGAAATCATAAAAAATCAGGCCTTGTTCACCACCAGAGAATTTATACTGGATAGAAGCCCTACAAATATAAACAATTTGGCAAAGCTTTTAGTAAAAAAAAAAAAAAAAAAGATCTTATTTACCACAGAAGAAACCACACTGGAGAGATGCCTTACCAAAGGGCAGAATGTGATAAAGTTTTTAAAGAAAAATCAATCTTTATTAAACAAAGCAGAATTCACACTGAAGAGAAGCCTTACAAATGTGAAAAATATGGTAAAGATTTTAGTCAAAAATTAAACCTTATTTACCAAAGAAGAATTCACGCTGGAGAAAAGCCCTACAAATGTAGAGAATGTGGCAAAGCTTTTAGTCAAAAAACTGACCTTATTAGCCACAGGAGAACTCACACTGGAGAGAAACCCTACAAATGTAAAGATTGTGGCAAAGCTTTCAGTCAAAAAGTAGGACTTACTTACCACAGCAGAACTCACACTGGAGAGAAGCCCTTCAAATGTAGAGAATGTGGCAAAGCTTTTATTCAAAAAACAGACCTTATTTGCCACAGCAGAACTCACACTGGAGAGAAGCCCTACAAATGTAAAGAATGTGGCAGAGCTTTCAGTCAAAAAGTAGGCCTTATTTTCCACAGCAGAACTCACACTGGAGAGAAGCCCTACAAATGTAAAGAATGTGGCAAAGCTTTCAGTCAAAAACCAGACCTTGTTCGCCACAGCAGAACTCATACTGGAGAGAAGCCCTACAAATGTAAAGAATGTGGCAAATCTTTCAGTCGAAAATCACACCTTATTCGCCACAGCAGAACTCACACTGGGGAGAAGCCCTACAAATGTAAAGAATGTGGCAAAGCTTTCAGTCAAAAAACAGACCTTATTCTCCACAGCAGAACTCACACTGGAGACAAGCCCTACAAATGTAAAGAATGTGGCAGATCTTTCAGTCGAAAATCATACCTTATTTGCCACAGCAGAACTCACACTGGAAAGAAGCCCTACATCTGTAAAGAATGTGCCAAAGCTTTCAGTCAAAAAATAAGCCTTATTCACCACAGCAGAACACACACGGGAGAGAAGCCCTACATCTGTAAAGATTGTGGCAAAGCTTTCAGTCAAAAATCACACCTTATTTGCCACAGCAGAACTCACACTGGAGAGAAGCCCTACAAATGTAAAGAATGTGGCAAAGCTTACAGTCAAAACTCATCCCTTATCTGCCACAGAAGAACTCACACTGGAGAGAAGCCCTACAAGTGTAAAGAATGTGGCAAAGCTTTCAGTCGAAAATCATACCTTATTTGCCACAGAAGAACTCACACTGGAGAGTAGCCCTACAAATGTAAATAATGTGGCAAAGCTTTTGGTCAAAAACCAGACCTTTTTAGGCACAGCAGAACTCACATTTTCTTCTGGTGGAACTCTACTTTCTTCTGGTTGAATATCTTGAGCCCAAAGATATGTAACCTGGGAGCTAAAAGAAGTATGACATAAATGAAGAGGTCCTTTTTGCATAAGGCAAATTGCACTTTTTGTATTTGATTTTTCTGCTTGTGAAGATGTACACTTCTCTACCTACAATGGTATTATGATTGATGGTGACTTGTGTGAATACACGAGGCTTAAAATGCAGCTACATGATTTTGAGTCCTTTCCCTGGTAAAAAATACTATAATTTGTACTCTAATAGGAGACTCAAAATGGTGCAAGACAAACCTATTTTTTTTTAATCTGCCTCTTTATTCATGGTATTCTAATGGTTTTGATCTAGTCAGTTCAGACCATTTCTGATTAATGGGTATCATCAAGATGTAGCCATGTATTCAAATTCCCTCTGTGATCAGTAGCAATTCTTCCCATTAAAAATCAAAACATTCTCATAAAGTCTTTGCTATATTTTAAGGATCCACTCTTGCTTTTGCTTTACTAAACAGAATTAATTCCACATAGTTGAGTCCCAAAGTAAATGGCAATACATTAATCTAAGCACTGTGAGGAATATAAGAAATACAAGATATCACCTTTGAAGTATATATTAAAAAAAATAAGAATCATAAATACTAAGCCATTACCATCTAAACTACACCAGGGCTTTTAAAATGTAATCTTAGATGTTCTACTCACTATCATAGTAAGAGGCCTTAGACTCAAAGTCATTTTATCTTGTTGTTTTATAATGCTATAGAAAAATACCAGAAATAGGCCAATGTATAAAAAGAGATATAAATGCATAAATTTATATAATCTGTACAATATGGTAAGTGGTTTTTCATGTTTTTAGCTACAACTTATTGAATATTATAACAATCTTACTATGTGGATAAGATGTGGGTATGATGAACCAATAATAAATAAAAATTGCATGCTGCATTGTTAGTAATTCACCAAACAATTTTTTTCAAAAACAGACACTCTGATGTGTGGTTTTTATCAACTATTTTATTATGAATGAATGAAGTTAAGTAAATGAATAATTGGAACTACATACTTGCTTAGGGTGCCTATAATTCATTGTTAAAAAACCTTTAGCTATATAAGATTTTAATACTGTATCTCACATTGTGACTTAATGGAATTTTGATTAATAATGCTGAAATCTTTCATTGAATCTTATATCAGTTTATGAAATAAACATGCTATATGTGATTTCCTCAATTCTAAGTGTCTTATGTTTTAAGAAACTGTAAGGACAATTCAAATTAAGGTTAACATACTTATACCAATAGCAGAAGCACCACAGGAAAAATGAAAACAAAGAATTGGGAGGTTCCACCATTATAGATGTAATTTTCTCAACATCTTTTCAATGTACCTAACCCAGTATTAATACCAAAATTAATGAGAAACCTCTTTTCATGATGAGTGTGCATGATGCTATTATATAAAATGAAAACAATTGCAAATTTTTCAGAGATGCATTTTACAACATTAGTTGAAAATACAATTGATTGATCAGTATCTCACTGTGTTTGACCACAGCAAATACCTTCTCAGTGTTCAAGATAAATGGGTAAATATATTAAAAAAAAAAAAAAATTCAAGTAAAATCCATGTTAAACAATAACAACTATTTTTTTCATAAGGAAACTATCAGTGTTTTTTTTGAAACAACATGACAATAAACTGTGCCTTATCACATGAAGGAAAGCAAAAATTCTTCATTCTATTATTTGAATATGCAAAGTATTCTTTGGCAAACTGCCACATATATTGTTTTAATTTCACAGGTGTGAATTATATCTGATTTTCTCTAAATTGCTACTTATTTAATATAAATTTGTAGAGAAATTATTTCTGCATGTGCTGATTAGTGAAATATAGTGAGGAATGGAAATCATTTAAAGCTCTATGAATTGCAATCCTAGAATGGTAGGAGGGAGCTGTATATAATCATAAGAAACATATTGAGTAATATTAATTTGTTCCAGATATTTATTTCCCTTAGCATCCACTTTTCACTATACTAGTGCTTTTAAATTGAGCTGACTATTAAATATCATAGGAAAAGCCATCAGAACAATCAGAATAAGAAATTTAAAAGAGAAACAATAAAATCATAAACATCTGGTTGAAACAACTAGCCAACTGTTGGATCTTAGCTTTTGACTTTTTCCTCCTATTTTCTTTTGATGATGACTAAGAGGAAGGTACTTATATTAAGAGCATGACCAGAACAATTTATGGCAATTTGTTTTTCTAAACATATGTAAAATTGACTTGCTAACTCAGAATACAATCTATTGAGTATATCTTTTTATGGTCAAAAAAATGTATAACTACACAACATAAAGATTGGCCTTTTGAAAAAAAGAATGTGATGGTGAAAACCAATTTGGAAAGGTAGTATTGAATATTTTATTTCAAAGAAAAGGCAGGAATATTTAAAATAGTTTTGATTATTAGATTCATGTAAAAAAATAAATTGTAGTATTCAGGCCTGATGTGGTGGTACATACCTGTAATCTCAAAAATTATATAGAGTCTGAGGCAGAAGGATCACAACTTCAAGACCAGCCTTGGTAACTGAGACCAGGTCTCAAAGTAAAATATCAAAGAGTTGTGAATATATATGAATGACAAAGCACCCCTGGGTTCAATCCCCAGGACTATATAAAACTATAGTTTCCAAAATTTACACCCATCAACAGCCTCTGCTCTATCTGCAACTATGTAAAGTTCTAAAAGGAAACTAAATTTAGCCATACCTACTACTAGTTGTAAGATATTGACCATAATTTTGAAATATATACATAGAAGACCCTTTACAATGTATTAGGTGTTCCCATTATTTTTTGCAATTGCAATGAGAGAGGGAGGAAAACCAATTTAGCTTATGGGGCCACTTCTTTCTCTTCAGCACTAATGAGTTCAATATTAAAAGGCTTTTGTGTTTAATTGATTATCATTTATGTAATCATAATGATATATGTTCTGTGATTTCCTGCTTAATCTACATTGGACACTTTATTATTTCTGAGTATCAGCATCTGTACAGACCACTACACCCGACTCTATTATTTAATAGTTACAAGTCCCTGTGTTCATGCTTCATCAGTTAGTTATTCTCTTTTAAAAATAATTATGTGTTGCATTCTTTGTCTACAGAAAATTTATGAAGGTTAAAAACCAGTAAGCATTTTCACAAATTTGACTTTAAAATAGTTTTCATCACAAAACACACACCAGAAGTAAGAATGATTTCTTTGTCTAATTTATTAGCCTTTCTAACATCCAATATCAGAACATGAAATCTGCTCATGGAGGGATGTTCTTCCCATCAAGAACAATCAATACTATTTTCTTCTATCCCATCAAATGTTACAAAAAGTGCACATTTTACTGTGTTTCATATGCAGAACTTGACTTTCCATTATTTTTGTTTAGTGGGTTTTTACTTTCTTTTTCATCACTTTGTTTTTTCTGTATTTTCTAATCTAATATTCATTTTTTGTGTGTGTGGTGAGAAAAATAGATCACTGGAATCTTCTAACTTTTCCTACATTCAATCACTGACTACTCACTAGCTAATATTTCTATTAAACCATCATTTTAAATGTAGGACTGAGGTATGCTAACAAAACAATTTTCAAGATCTACTGCAGAACCAGCATAACTTTCTTGAGCTCTGTAGTTAGAGCCACTGTTTCTGTCCACAAACTCTGCTCCCTTTGTTTTATTTTTCTTTATATTGAGTAACTCTCTTTGAAATGAGGCACAGAAAACAGCTTTTTAGAATTTTATCATATATGAAAATATTTTTATTCATCATTAAAGGACAATATGCTTCAGTTTAGAGTACCAGGTTGAATACTAGTTTTCCTTTAAATCATGAGGTTATTCTGTATTTATCATCTATAATCCATCATTAGTGATAAATACTTGGGTTCTATTCTTGCTTTCTTGAAGCTGACCATGTTTTTTCTTTTCAGGAAATTCTCTTTGTTTTAAGCATATCTACTTGAAAAATTCTGGAGATATATTTAGCATATTTAAATTTTATTTTCTTGATTATAGCATTCAATCAAAATGGAATATTGCCAGACCTGATCTTCTTTCCAGTATATACATGTAGGAAACTGGGTAAAATATGGATAATAATATGTCTGTTTTTTAGACACCAAAAACAGGCATAGCAGGTGAGTGAAACCATAAGCAATAAGTACAGACTGGTGAAGTAAACTATAACTTTATTTTTAAAATTGTTCTTAATAAGTGCAGTTTGATAAAATGCTGTTAAAACTTATGGGTAAAGGGAAGTAAGAATAATCAAAGTATACCACTGTAAGAAAAACATGAAATCTGGCACCTGAGAGCAAAGTGTGGGGGAAACTTCATTATGATAGGAAAGAATCCCTCACTTTCCCTTCACCCTCTCACCCACTTAACCTCACCAGAAATCACCAAGACACTTAGAATAAAAGGTTTTAAGTTCAATAGTCACACTCTCTTCAAATACAAAAAGAAGTTAAAATTCAACTGAACACAGAATCTTGTGTGCAAAGTTACAGGGATCTGAAACATCATATAAAAGATAATTCTGTGTTGTTTTTTATTTTTATTTTTTTATTTATTTATTTATTTTTTTTTTTGTGTGTGTGTGTGTTTTGTTTTGTTCCAAGGGTGTGGCTATTCCTTGGTCACCTGAAATCAGCAAAGAAACTATTATTTTGATGAAGTATCAGTGGCTGACCCACATTAAATACAGACAAATGTAAAAAAAAAAATTTAAAAAGCCTAATTATGAAAAAATATGTTGCTGCTTTCTCCCTCCACATTTTTCTTTTTAAAGTTTTTTTTTTTTTTTTTTTTTTTTTTTTTTTTTTTAAAAATAGTAAAAAATTCTGGAAGACTTTACAACCAACTGCATGAGGGTCTGGGAAGCTGAGAGGCTGGAGCAGGGCTGGGAGGAGCAGACAGGAAGGGGTCTTTCCCTTAGTTACTGGAGGCCAAGTATAATTAAAAAGAGACAAATCAATAAGTGTTTGTAAACCAGGAAATGATACAGATTATCAAGTTATTATCAGTTATAAAAAAATTATATATCAAGAAAATAGAGAAATCATGAACAGGATTAGAAAAAATAGGTGTAAATTTTATTTTAAGAAATTTATTGGTGATACATAAAAATAAAGATGAATTTTATATTTTGATTTTAAATGGAAGGCAGAGAGATATACAAGTCATATAGTACTTCAAAAACCTTACTTAAGTTACAAAAATATAATCAATTGATAGCTTCTACTTATTTTACTCTCTCTCTTCCTTGGCATTTCCACTTGTAGAGTGTGACCAATAACTAAGCAAATAACTAACCAAGAAGATAGTCACTGATGTTATACTCATTCTCAGAAAACACAAATCAATTTCAGAGCAAAGAAGTGATACAACACCTATTCATTTTTTTCTTTGGAAAAAGGTCCCTTTTTTGAATCAGATAGAAGAGGAAATTTGTCAACCTTTATCAAAATGTTACTAGAAATGAGTACGGGTTAGCTTCATTTAGAAGTAAACTGAAATAAAATAACACTATTGCACGGTGTCTTTCAGGGTTAGCCGTGGGGGGGGGGGGGGGGAAACTTTTTCCAAAGAGCAGAATACTTGGCAGCACACTTCATCCTTAATTTCACGTGGAAAAAGAAGATAACTCAGGTAAGAAGGTACATAACTAATAGGAAGAAATCAAGACTTGGTCAAGGGTCTAGAAGAAACTTTTGAAGACTATAAAATTTGAGGGGTACAGTCACCAGGATGGATCTCTGAGAGAGACAATGCAGTGTAAATATCACGGAATTTTATGCTATCACATACCAAAACACATACATCATGGACATTCTAGAAAACAACCAAGTTGACAACTTGACTTGGCTCATTGTTTTATCCAGCCTCGGATGATGCCCAGGATGAATGAGGACTGAGTACCACAGTAGTTTCCAGTCACTGCATTTTATCTATCAAATGCTTCTTCCAAATATCCAGCCAGCCAGGAGGAGGGGTCTATCTCTAGGTTCTTGTTACAGCATCATCTTTTCATCATTCTCTCATAATAAATTAACAAGTGGACCTCTTTTAACACAGAAATAATTTTAACCAGAAAAACTCAAACATTTTTTTTACATTTTGCTTTTACAGACAATAAATGCTAAGCAAACAGCACTAATAAAGTGCCAATAGATCATGCCTAAAATTGAATCAGACCACACTTAACAAAAATAAACATATTACTATTGGTCTATGACCATGGTATCCACTGTATTATCATCTACAAAAGAAACAGAAAGCTGCTGGTCTGGTAGAATTCTAGAACATGTGATGGTGTGCCGCAGCCCGGCTGGCTGGGCAAAATAACCGGGGGGTGACGAACAACTTGTGTACCTTGATACAGCAGGAGTGGGAGCCGTTTATTGCAGGACAGGAGCAGTATTTATACATTCCACACAACTTATCTAATTAGCATAAACTAGATACATCAGTCAACCAATAAGGAATCTCCACACTTAATGGCTCGCTTTTGTTACTTCTCAAACCACTCCCTCTGGCATTTTGCCAGGCACCATCCAGACTTGTTTACGAACGCTAACATTCCCCTGGCAAAATGCCAGGTGTTATTTTGACTTGTTTACAGACTCTAACATTTCCCCCTTTTGTTTAATTTAAATAACGACCATAGTGGTTTTTACAGAAACACCATAAATAACCTGCTACAAACAGAAAGGGAGGATACAAAATGCCACAATACCAAGCCAATTGATGGCTCCATGCAAGAAGCCCTTGGAAAAATTATACCAGCAATGACACCATTTGTAAAGATACCGAGTTACAATTTGTTGTAGATTACAGTTTGTTGTCTCAGTCCAGCTAAAGCAGTGTCTCAATAGATTAACTCACAGTCCAGGTAAATCACAGTCCAGGTAAGTTCTGCAGGCAGCTAGCTTAAATCACAGTCCAGGTAAGTTCTGCAGGCAACTAGCTTGATCCGAAGTCTCGTCCGTTTCTCAGCCGAAGTCTCGTCCGGTTTTCAGCAACACTGGAAATTCTTCCACCTTGGTCTTTACTGGCACTGGGACGAAGGCAGGAACTCCGGATGGCTAAAGAAAATCCTGTAGCATTCTACTAAGAAAACAACCTTCTGAGCAATTTAGTACATTATCTCAAGGTTTTTTTGCATTTGAAATAAGCATTAATAGTGCTCATTACTCATCAGCTTCCAGGTGTGGGAGAACCATTGTAGTTTAGTTATTGGCATTGAAAATGACCAAACATCAGGGACACCAGTAGCGTCTTCTGCTGGCTGTAGTGCCTGGGCAGCCCCAGATGGCCCTGGGGAGTGTCCCAGACTCAAACTGCTACTGCACAGGGAGCAAGAGCCTGCGAGACTGTGCCTCCGGGTCAGGCTTGGATTTGGGCTCTTGCAGTGGCATCCCGCTCCCCGGGCAGGGGGCAGGGAAGAGCCGGTTGCTGCCGCTTGGAAAGCCCTTGCTGCGCCATGACCAGCTCACACATGGCAGCTGCTGCACCGATTCACGCACCCTCTGGTAACGAAAAGTATTTAGTAATAGCCTTTTGCTGCAACTTTTTTCTGATAATCCTTCCTCCTCTGATAATCTTTCTTCTTCTGAACTTTCTGTTTCTTTCTGACTAGAGTTCCTGGGCTTCTATCAACACTTGCCCTAACTATTCTTGGTTCCATTGGGGTGCCTTCTTCCCTTAGTAATTTACTTCTCACCCCTTCCATATTTTCATCACAAAGACAATACAATACACTGAGACAAAACAAGACACAAACATACTGTATCAATCTTCTCCATTTTCTCGAAATGGCCATTTTTCCTCTCGACCTATCTAGGGACGAGCAGATTTGCTCCCGTCCTATCTTTTTTTCGTCACTTACCCCCGAGTGTCCCGAGGCTCCCCGTAACGGGCCACCATCTGCCGCAGTCCGGCTGCAGCAGAATAACTGGGGGGGTGACGAAGAACTTGTGTAGATCGATACAGCAGGAGTGGGAGCCGTTTATTGCAGGACAGGAGCAGTATTTATACATTCCACACAACTTATCTAATTAGCATAAACTAGATACATCAGTCAACCAATAAGGAATCTCCACACTTAATGGCTTGCTTTTGTTACTTCTCAAACCACTCCCTCTGGCATTTTGCCAGGCACCATCCAGACTTGTTTACGAACGCTAACATTCCCCTGGCAAAATGCCAGGTGTTATTTTGACTTGTTTACAGACTCTAACAATGGTGTTGGTAATACTTCTTAAATTTCACATCATTATATCAGGTTGTGCTACCAAGGGATAAGACTACATAGATCCAGGAACTAGAGTGTCAAAGTTGAAGAGTCTTCACTCATGATCACTCCCATTAACCCACTTGGCAATTATATTTTCTTAAATCATGCCTCTGCACCCTCCAGTTTTAGAAATCCTAATTATTTAAGCAGACACTTTGCCAACAGGATGCCTAACAAGATTCCATTAAAATTTAAACTACACCTGAGGACTTTAAATTCTATGTACTAAGAAAACAGAAAGGAAGAGGAGAAATTACAATCCTAGATAGGTCAATTCACTCTCATTACCAGAAGGACATTGATTCCATGTTTCAATGGAGATAAAAATCAGATGATTCAATTTGAAGACACATGATCCAATTCTCTACTTTTTAGTACTCACTTGCCCTAAAGGAATTGTAAATGGAACAGTACAGTAGTTGTTTCTTGAGAAAATTATGGTGAGGAGGCTCAACTGATTTGGGGATGAGTATGAGTTTCACTCACTCAGCTAAGTTATAGAGACTAAAAGAAGTACATTTAGGGGATCTAAAATGAACAGCAGAAGAGACACAGGATGACCATTAATTTGACATTCAGTCTACACAGCTGACAAAACTGTAATTAATTGCACTGTTTTCCCTTATAAGTTTTCTTCAGGAATAGAGTCTCACCAGTACCATAAACTAAGTACAGAACTTATACTGAAAAGTAAATTTTTGTGGTGTCACTATAGGGAACTGTGCTTTATGGCACCCTTAGGACTGAATGATTCATTTCCCAGACAATTGCTGAAAGTGGTCTTTTCAAAATATTTTCATCAATAGAAGAAAGTTTTTCTGGCTATGACCATTCAAGGCTTCCTACACTCAAGACTGTGTGAGACTCATGTAAATCACACTCCATGTCTCAAGTAGGAACAAATATGAGAGTTCAAGACAGCTCCAAAATTTCACTTTGAGTAAGTAGAAGCCTCTTTTGAGATTAGACTGCAACCTCAGATTCTGTGTGCCCCAAAGTGCTTCCTTCCCTTTATTTCCATTGAGCTTATCTGAAGCACCCTAACTTATAGACTTCCAAGATGCCTAGTCATGGTCTTAATCTACCTCCTGGGGAGCCGTAATTAGAACTCAAATGCATCCTTCATTTACTTTCAGACTTTCTGTTTTCCAGAAGTTCTTGGAAGTCTTTTGCCACTGGAGATAACCTCCTCTTTTCATGTGGATGTTTATCTCATTTTATGTTTCTCTTTGACTGTTACTTTAATTCATAGTGGGTAAAATAGACTTGCATATTTGAAGATCCAGATCTCTAAGTAAAATAGTTAGCTTAGTTTATGGGCTTATAATACACAATCAAAAATGTTTAATACATTTTAATATGAATTTAGATCCATGATTAAAATTGGAAGAAATAAAATATGCTTTATAAGGATGCAATTCTGCACTACAAAATTATCATTGTTTTTCAAAAAGGATAAGAATTTTGGAAGATAACATGGCACCAAGAAAAAGAATCACTATTTTTTTAATATTGTTGTGCTTGAAAGAGAATAATAATGTCACCATAAATTTACTATATAATATGAAACAAAAAGCTTTATGACCAAGTTCTGTTTATTTTTGACAAAATATATTTGAAGCAAAAATACCAAATCCATGAACCTCCTCAAAATAATATAAAGATACAGGGAATAGCATTTCTACACAAATCATGTAATTTTTATGATATTATGTAAATTTTCTAGACATAGATGTAGAAGCTAAATACACTAATATTCTTTCTCAATGTACATTTATTTTGAAGCAAAGTTCCATAAATCGGCAAATACAATTAAATTTTACTTATTATACACAGATCCGTACCTCAAAAGTGACCAAATACCTGGAAATAATTCATTTGGCATATTTCTATTTCCCAGACTATAATATATCTTCTACCTTTTCAGTGACACAGAATTTTAAATTTTAAGTAAACTTCTCCTGTAGGCTGAAAACTCACCATGTAACTATGGTACTAATACAATTAATAATGGATGTTACAAGAAAAATTCTTAGTACTTTTAAGAGAGTTGTTTGAAATGAAACACTAGATCAACACATGATCCTTCAAACAAATTATAATAATGCATGCACAGCAATAAATTTGGAATAAAGAAGGTATAGACATTTATTAGCTACAGGACTTTGAAAACACATGCTTTGGACCTAAAAGACAATTATTTTGCTTTGTAATTACAGCATTTTTCATAGCTGTGTGAGGAGTTTTAGGTCCATGTTTTTGTTTTGTGATCTCGCGTGCTTCATTTATTCAGATGTATTAATGTAATATATGCTTATATGAGTAATTTGCAATTATGCCTGTTTCTAATTATATAATTTTTTTTTTAGAAATTCTTGGTAATCACACAGTTTCTCTATTAGAGAGCAATTACCATGCAAGCTAGAAAATGCACAGTGTCTTAAAGAACTCCTCATTCCAGAGTCTAGCCTTAGAGTTTTCACATAGTTGATGGTCAATAAATTTTTATGGTTCATAAATTTAAGATCTTTTGAATCTTATCTTGACACTCAAGATGGTCAATATGAAAGCACAACATTTAAGACTGTATGTTCCTTGAATATTATATGAAATACCTAAGGAAAGAAGATAAAGTGACCAGAAAAGAATTCAGCATTTATAGATTTATACTTAAAAAAAAATCTTCTAGGAAGTATTCTCAATTGAAAACTGATGTTTGAAGCCTATGTTCTATACTGCATGTTTTCACTTAAGTTTTGTCTGGTAAAACATCAAAATAGTCATATGAAAAGTAGGCACTTTGCCTATTACTTACCATTTAGCCACAACTCACATTTTGGGATTGTACATATTAATTGAATGGACAGGTGTATGACAATGTCATATTTCAGGGAAAATGCCTTGTATGGTGTATAATTATTAATAATACTCCTGTCTTATCCAGGACAGTAATCTGGTAGGTAATATCTCCTACTAAGAATATAATGTTGTCCATAAGATTAATTTTCTAGCATATTTCAAATGTAGTCTCCAAGGCAAATTTTTATCTAATATGACCAATTCTTACATTAAAAAAAGTTACATAAATAAAAATGAAACTTCTGAGATCTTGACTATGTCAATTTGCCTCTGTCTGTTTTCCTCCTGGTATCATAGTGTTTTGATGACTGTTTTTGGAGAAGATTTTGAAGCAAATAAGTGTGACACCTTCTGTTTTCTTCATTTTATTCAAGATTGTTTTGCTTTTTTAGGGTCTTCTGTGAATTTTTGGATGTTTTTCTCAACTTATTAGTTTTTATATGGATTTCATAGAATGTATGAATCATTTTAAACTGTGTGGACTTTTTTTAAATTAATTTTTTCATTCCATGATTGCAAGATATCTTTCATTTATGTGTTTCTTCTTCAATTTTATTCATCAATAATTTTTAAGTTTCAGCATTCAGATATTTCAATTGTTTAGTTAAGTTTTATCCCTTTGTAGTTTTTTGTAACTATTATAATGAGGTTGTTTTCTTTAATTCAAATATTTTATGAAATTTATTTTACAACATTATTACTGTGGTTAACATTAATATATCACATACTCAAATATCACAAAGAGAGCAAGTTCTACATACTCTTATTACAAAAGAAATGATCAGGAAATGAGATTAGGAGTATTTTGATTAGCTGAATCTAGCAATTCTAACAATGAGTCCATTTTTAGATAAATCATATTATAAACTACAATTATATAAAATTTTTATTTACAATTAGAATGTGTTTTATAAAGAAAAACCATTAGTCAACTAGACACCCAGACAATGAGACTTAATACATTTTGGCCTTCTGTCATGTTCCTAGCAAGTTGTTTTCACTTACAGTCTGTGTAAGTTTGCTAGGGCTGTCATAACACAATACCACTGACTACATGAATTAAATGAGATAAATTCATTGTTACACAGTTCCAGAGGCTGGAAGTTCAAGATCTAGTATTAGAAAATTTTATTTCATCTGAGGTCTCTCTCTTTGAGTTTAAAACAATTGCCTGATCATTGTTCCTCACATGGATTTTTCTCTCTATGTTCATATATCTGAGTCCTAATCACGTCTTATAGTGACACTTGCCATATTGAATTAGGGCTTACACAGAAGACCTTCAAAGGCCCTTCTTCCAAACAACGTAGCATTCTAGGTACTGTAAGTTAGGATATTAAAATACAATTCTGAGGAGACACAGGCTATCTTCAACAGTAAC